ACCTATATTTAATTTTTTGCAGTGGAAAATCCTCGATCTCTCTTGTAAGGATCTATCTCTAAAGTTGTACTTTACGAATTGTTTTCTTCATGGGGCGATGTTAACTTCGCTCAATCTCAATATAAACCAGGTGAGGTCTCATACAGAAGGGAGCTGTTTGAAGAATAACTATGGATACGACTCTAAAACACGTATTATCCCATCGGTTTCAGGACATTTTGTCAACGATTTTTTGTCCGCGCACCTTTTGTGTCCAGTAGTATACGCCCACGCGTAAAATAAGCAACAATGTCTTGGTCCAAGCGTTATATTTTAGTCGGTATGTAAAATTATATTGACAATATGGAAATGAGAAATTGAGAGAGAAGGAGGTGTTGTTATGGTTGCTCATTTTCTAAATGAAATGTTATTACTTTCTCCTTTTGAATCATCTTTTCAAATTGTCATTGGTGAATATTTGGTTTTATTTCTATCCTTAAAATATTGAATGTACGGTATACCTTATATATGTATAGGTACTTTTTATTTTATTTTTTTTTATTTTTTCTTTACGAAATTATTACTTCATTTTGAAAAAATTTATATTTTTAAAACGTGACAAATATTTTTAAAACCTTTCCCAAGTGACATTAATCCTAATGAGCCGCAGTTGTGCCGACAGAATACTGCAAAAATGAATAAAAGAGGGAAAAAACCAAGAAGCACGCAATCCTTAGTTTTAACCCATTTGTACATCGATCTTATAGAGTCAAATACGTCAAATTTTGAGCGTTTCGTTGCGCGTACACCTCGCTGCAGCACAATAAAAGCACAAAATGTAAAAGAAAAAATTAGAGTGCTTTGGAAATCATTAAATTTGACACGGAACCACCAATATTTAAAAAAACACACATTATATTATTATTATTCTCCTTTGATAAATTGATCCATATTTTTTTACCATCAATTATGATGAGAATAATCAATGCAGAGTGTGCTAACATTTCAAAATCATGAGTTAAATATTCTAAATATTAAAGCCTAATAGAGCGGAGCGGCGTGCTACCAGCGCGAGAGGCTCACTGGCGCCTACAAACCTAAGTGGATACTTCTCGCATTGCACAATGCTTGAAGTATCCACTTAGGTTTGTAGGCGCCAATGCGCGCTTCGCGCTAGCCGCCCGCGTGCGGCGCGCGGCGGCGCCTGAAGCAACTATTTCACAACAGAGGTGTTGGACAGTATTATACGAAATTGAAAGTTTTAAGAATGACAGGCATCCTTTAAAAGTACAGATCTTTCCTCGCAAAATAAATCAAGATACTTATCGTACACAAGAAAAATCTAAGAGCCTTTAGCTGAGGCTAATATAGAGGTTTATCCGGTTCAGGTATAACAAGGTGGGAATTTCTTGAAAGATAATCAAGTCCTGTTACACCAGAGAGGTGTAGAGAGTTTTAGTGATTTGTGTCTCAAGGAATTGACGCTCCCCCATTTTTACCAAAACTCTCAACTTTATCTTATTCTCCGTTGGACCAAACAGACAAAACAAAAAAACAAGCAAACCCTCATTCTTCCAAGACATTATATATTTTCATCCAAAAACGTCGTGAGCAATTGTCGTTTGTATTTACATGTAGGCCAAATAACTTTGGGTCTCAACTGACACGTGGACCAAAACTCCCGTGCCGAAAAAACGCGTGGACGTAAATTATTGGGAAAAACAGGTGCGCGGACAAAAAATCGTTGACGAAATGTCCTATAACCATCTCATCCAAATTCTCCGCAGAGTATGGTTGACACATTTAAAATTCCTTAGTTCTGTTTATTAATTAGAAATCAGCGTTTTATGTGCTTATCAATTCGAACTTTCCGCTTGCAAATAAACCAGTGTCGACGTATGTTTTAATGATTGACCCTTAGATGCTCAAGACTTTTTTTATATGCAAAGTCCCAAGTCAGGTCAAGTCGGCTGTGTTCTTACGTAGCCTTTGAAGCACCGCAAAATGCAAGTAGAGCAAGCGAAAGGATGCGCGTTGATGACGGCGTAGAGATACAACTGTTCGTACTTGATTGATGTCCATGTTGCATCTGCGAAGTTGAAGGCGCGATGGCACGAAGCATGAACGCGCAATACTCCGCTCTATGCTGCCAGTGAGGTGTCACTCAGATTCGCGAGCAAAATTAAAAACTAGACCAGTCCTTTCAAGAACATGTGCCAAACTGTTCAGTGGTAAATAATAGTTATTGAATTTTTAGAAGAAATTCGCTGCGTATTCCTTTTGTGAAAAATACACATTCGTTCGTTCGCTGAAGCTGAAACACCAGCAATGACTCGTTTCGTTGCTTCCCCGCGTACGCTAAAGTAAGAACAATGACTCATACATTCATTCATAATCTTGAAGAGCAACAGTGAGTCATTCCATTCATTCACATGAACCTGAACTGCTACTAGTGAACTGCTGCTAGTACATATAAGTAGGATTTTTAGAGTATTTCTTAAAGACATCATTTTCCTCACTCATCGTTGAAACCTACGCATGAACATATCCTAATGAATATATGTACATGTAAAAAAAAATTCCAATTGGGCCGAGTTCATCAGAAAGGAACCAATCCTTACTAAGTTGAAACTGAGAAACAGAGGTTTGAAGTTTTATTCCTGCATAAGGCTCAATGTGAAAAGTAAACCCCTCTTACCACAAACTAATTTCTTTTTCTCGACTTTCTGATTTTGGCAGGAGAAAATAAATGACTAGTGGAACTCAAAAAGATTCTTATCTCAAGTTTTTCGAAAATATCGGTTCGATCCTCTCTGAAAAACTCGATCCAATTGAAGGTCTGACGAAGAACCTTTCCCATTGAAAATTCCGCAAAAATATTTCTTTGAAAAGAATCTACATAAGAAAAAATAATTAATTACGCCTCATACTGTGAATGATATGGCTTTCGTCAAGAGCTCGTGAGCCCTCAAACTAAACAAGGACTACAGAGCTCAAGGTTTTTTATGTTTACTTCATTATTTCACTTCCTTCCCTCACTTTTCCCTCGAAAGTATCAATTTGTGTCGAGTCACAGAGGCTCAGTTGCGCCGGCCAAATCTGCGCGTAACGTACCATGAAATTCCGTTTGATAGGTGAACATTAACCCAGTCATTCTTCCGATCTCCGCAGTTTGTCTATTTTTGATCATTTTGAGATTTTAATAATAATAAAAAACACACACACACATCCCTCTCACACCAAACGCAGCACCGGAGTTTTATCGTGTGGTACGCCTGTCGCACAGTTTTCTGGTCGCGACATAAACTCGGATTAGAGTCGTGTTAGCCACAGTCTTTAATGATTGAAAATTAGAAAGTGTGATGAAAATAATGATATCTGCGCATGTCGATTATTGACATTTTGGTGCTGTCGATGGGATATACAACATAACTTAGCTGAGGTGGGATTTTGTGATTCATACCGCCGTACTAAGGAAAATCGCTGTATGAGGCCTTGTGCGTTGCCAAAATTCCTTTTATAAAACACGAATTTCCAAACTTGTTAAAATGTTTCTTCCGATTTTTCAGATAATTTTGCTCGCAATTTCAACTGTAGTTCCTGTAAATTATTCATAACTTTCCTTAAAAATGAACATTTTATCAAAAGAAATGGAGCACCTCTTAAATGTTCATACGGCGTTTTTCCTTAGCACGGCAGCATATAAGAACCACCGCCATATCAACCGAAGTTTTTTCTCTCGATGTGCGCAAGTTGAATGCCTTGTTCCAATAGGCGTTTGGCCGAGGCTTTATATTTTTTTTCGAAATGGCCTTTTCTTCGGATTATAACTCTCTGCAAACTTTCAGCTCGGTTTTCTGTTTCCTGAATTTTTTTAAATTTACGAGTGCGGAAATTTTTACAACAAGACATTTATGTACGGTGCAAATTATATGAATCGGTCTATCTTGCAACCAAATAGATCTATTAAGTGATAGGCTTTAGAATACAGGCTTTTTTATGGCGCTCAGAGCTCATCAGATTATGGACATCGATCGATTCATATTTAAGATCCCAATTTTTGTCCGGTTGAACCCCGTGTGCGACAGCGCGGTTTCAACGAACACGAAAACTCTTGTCGAAAAGTCCCTCGTGTCGCTTGTCCTCGCTTACGGTCGTGTAACTTTCGCCTAAGGTCACAACTGCCGATACTGACAGGTGTAGCTAAAAATAAGTCCGAAGGCACCGAATTAAATTGGCCTAAAGCGACAGGAACTTTAGTTCGAAGGTGGTATTTATCGACGAGACAAGTTCCTCCTTACTAAGCGCCGAATTTTTAGGACTAATTTAGCTAGTCTATTATAGCGAAAGCTTTTGTAAGTTTTGCGGACTAAAAAAGGTCTCTCCTGTGAAAGTGGCAATAAACGTTCGTGCTTCAGAAATAACCGACGAATAATTATAGAATAGTGGTGTGTTGATTTATAGATGGTTACGGTGACGTGACCTGCTAGTTAAAGAAAAGGCCGCAAGATGCTATTTGATTATGAATGAAGATCGATTTGTCGGTTTAAGACTTGTGTTTAATTTTGTCGCCCAGCTTAAGATTCTTGAACCAGAAGGTTCACAAAACCGATGGTCCCAATGAGGAACAAACTAATTTTCATGGAATTTTCAGAAAGTTCTGATAACTAAATTTCAACGACAAATAATTTCCACGATGAAATCTTGCTCAGAAAACTGCTTGGCATTTTTTAGTAAAAAATTCACATTTCGGTCGATTGTCTTCTAATTGCTTGATAGAATCAGCTAAAGTTTGAATAGGAATAGCACAGTCACTCCCTTGTACAAACTTCATTTTTTTAGTCAATTTTGCAAGTTTGGAACTCAATTACTAATTACTATTGTTTCACAATATGTTTTTCTGGGGAACGAGGATTTGCTAAACAGCTCGGTCCTTAGACATAAACAGATTTCTGCATGGAATGACTAAAAGCAACTAAAAATGTATCATTATTGTTTAGCAAACGGCTGAGTATACTTACAGTTTCTAAGAGGATATCGCCTATAATAATTTTTTGTTTCATATTCCAATTTTTTAACCTATCTTCTAAAGCTTCTAGGAATTCTAAATGATGAGCGAGAATTTCAGGAACCTGTGAGAGAAAAAAATAAACAGAATTAACACTGCACGTAAAAACATTCGTTTAAATATTGCTTATATCTGTTCTATCCTCAATCAAGAAATAGCCACAGACGTAATAAAGAGATAGAGAACTATCTTCATTAAAGAAAAAACGTCCCTCTTTTGGGGTTTTGACTACCCGGTGAGTGCATTTTCTCTGCTAAATGACGGTTTCTGTCCGTGTGAATTGCGTGACTAAACGTGTGATTCTGTCGAAAAGTTTCAGAGAAAGTTGTCTTAAAATCATTGGAGACGAGGGCCTCATTCCCGAAAAGAAAAAGTTGCACAAACGAAACAAAAAAAAAGTCGCTTAGCTTTGCAATGTACCTGGTACCTTGTGCTAAACTGACTCCTATTGTCCCTCTGTCTAAATCATTTTTTGAGACCACTGACCCAGATCGGTTATGAATACAAACTAGTGCTAATTTCGAAAGTGAGGGGAAAAAGGGAAACTCCTAAAAAGCACTTACTTGAAAGAAAATTTCATCTACAATGTCTGCATCCAGCTTCACGGAGTTTTCAGCCTCCTTCAAAGGTTTCAGATATTTCTGAAAGAAAAAGAGAACATTTCGTGAGTACGTTGCGCAGTTTCGTAATGGACGGGTTGGACAAAGGCGTAATACAATTTCACTCTTACGATAACTGCTCTTTGAATTTCCAACATCCTTTTGCGTCGACTGTCGTGCTGCCGTGCTAAGTAAAAACCCCGTATGACCCATCAGGCGTTGCTGAATTTCTTTCGATAAACCACGGATTTCTGTGAAAATGTGTGAATATTTCTATTCCTGTTTTTCAGAGGATTTCTTTTTTGTGATTTGATCTAAAAAGTCTGGAAACTCCAAGGAAACAAATTCATAACTTTCTTCGAAATTACATGTTTTCTGAGGGGTAATTTGATAACATTCGAATACTCATACGACTTTTTTACTGAGCACCGCAACATGCATCTATTTAAATCAAAAGGAACTATCTCTATGATGACCTGAGCCCTGTCACGCATTTATTCTTATGATTACCAGTGACCAGGTCACAATGGTGATGGTTTCTTTTTATTTAAATCGCTCCATACGTCAGAATTTATTCTTTATATTTCCCTCTTTTTACCATGTTAACTCCTTCATTTTCTCCTACTTGTTTTTTAGCATTGGAGAAACTCGCAAGTTCGCAACACTGGAGACCATTTGTTCATGCATGTACCGGTAAGTGTATATGTGCCGGTAATCCTTTGAAAAAAATTAGTGCTCATTGCAGTAAGTTGCGCATCATCTGGAATCAAATATTTATAATAGATTTAAGTTGATAAAAAACCGTGTTTGTTACGTATTCTTATGACTCCACCATAGTACGTCAATCCTGTGATTTTAAGATCGATCGAAATGCATGCCACTTCTATAAGATTTACAAACCACAAGGAGGAGGTGTGTGGTAAAAGAGAATCTCTGAGAACGATGCGAAAGTCCTTTATTATTGGAGGAAAATTTTACATGAAATAAGGGAGTTCCAAATGACGCCCTATTCCTTGACCACGCCTCTAAGCACTGTGATCCAGTTATTTTTTCGGAATTTCTCCAGTTAATACATGCAAAAATTGTTCAATTTGGGGTCTTAGGGGAGGGGGAGGAGGTCTCTAGATTCAAAATGTATACACATTGCACAAATCGTCTGTTCCCGAGCAAAGAAACGTAACTACCTTTCATGATTGCAAATTTCTTAATTTTTATTTTTACTTCGACACTATTAGATATTTTCCATTGAAAATCGCACATATTTTACTTTGGGTTGTCAAAAAAAAATCAGAAAAATTTGAACAGAAATTGTTGATTAATAATAATTTCAAATTGCTCTGTTACTCTTTGTGTAAAATAAAGAATTGTATAAATAGATTTTTCAATCATGGAGAAAAGATACGTTCCTTCGTCTAAAAAACCTCGAAATTTCTCGTTTTTAAATACTCCCCTAATACTCTTAATACTCCACTAAATACTCCCTATCCCCCTGGCTCTCACAACGCCTTTATGCGCATGTGTCCAAGTTAGCTCTACGGAATCGCTCCGCTTAACACAGTCCAAAAGTAAATTTGTACATTTGGGATCTCAGGAGAGGGAAAGGAGGTATGCGGATGAAAACGCCTAAAAATTACCCGAATTTCCCGTTTTTGGAAAAAATTTTGGCTCAACAGTGGGAATAATAAATATACTATCTATCCCCAACCACGACTCTGGGCGCATATTGCCAGGTTAGCCCTTTCGAAATCACCCAATTAACACAGCCAAAAATTATTGTTCGATTCGGAGTCCTCGGAGAGGAGAAGAAGGTGTATGGATTAAGAAAGCCTAAAAATTGCCAAAATTTCCCCGTTTGGGAAGAAATTTCGGCTCTTCAGTGGGAATGCTACATACCCTCTATCCCTAGACCACGCCTCTGCGCGAATGTGACCAAGTTAGCCCCCCGGAATGACTCCAATTCACACGGCTCGAAGGTCGATTTTTATTCATGCACACTAACTCTTACACCGCGGGCGTGTTTATTTTCTTTCCCGAATTCCAGTCGGTAGTACAAACCGGGTGGCTCGGGGCGACCTTGACACGCGTTTTCCCCCGGTTCCTGAGGGCTCTTTCCACGGCTCGTTACTCCGAAAATTCCTCGACAAATTGCTCGATAAACAGCCAGCGATGTTGAGCGCGACGTAATATAAAAAGAGCCCATTCATTCATTCAAGTTTGCGGCCGGGCCGCGGGAGGGGGGCAGGAGGTGGGGGTTGAGGGTTGGGAGGAGGGGGCAGGGTGTGCAGAAACACACGGAGCGCCGCCAAACTCATGATTACGCCGCGACGCCAAATTGTGCGAAAAATACGTATTAACGTCGTTTTCCGTAAGAAGGAACATAACTTCATCCCAAGGTTGCAAAATTCACTAAAAAAATTCAATTTTTTACGAGATCATACCTGTTAAATTTTTATGAAAAATGTGTCTGATTTTTCAGTCAGATCTGAAGAAAAGTCAGTGACATTTTCAGACAGAAATGCCCCAGATTTTCCGAGGAAAAATGCAAATAGCAAGAGGAAATTTGGCAGCATTGAAATGTAGTTACGCTCTTTCGCGGGGGGAATGACGAAATGTCGGGCGTTTCGTTGGCGATTTTGCGGATGTGCGATTACGCGCGACCGCCGTTGCTCCGCGTCGGGGGAAACGTGTTTGTTTTTCGGGAATTTTCGCTGAATTTTGGATCGTGGGATGCGATTTAGCTACTCTGCGCGGACCTGCTCGCGAGCCAAAAATTTATTTGGCTCCCACGAGGAAACTTCAAACTCTTGACTCGATACTGACTTGAGGCGAACGTCGTAGCTGCAGCTCGGCTGCGCTGCCGCGTTAACGAAGAGAGCGTTAAAGGCAAAATGAAGTTTTGAGAAAATGGACCTGGTAACGTCTGGGTGGAAAAAAATTATTGGACGAATCCTCCGGTCACCGTAAAATTACCAATAATCATCCAGGAGACACTTTGAAATGGTTCGGGTTCATAAGAATCGACGAATTTTTTCTTCGAGTATGAGGAGTCATATCGCTAGCTGGATGCAAAAAATGCATTTATCACTTGCAGCGTTTAATAATCTCCGATTATGTTTTATTTCCTTCAAAGAAAACTAATCAATTAATATTATGATTCGTTGTCTCTGATATTATCTCCTTGCAATTCGATTTGATTTATTTTACATTAAATGAGGAAAATTCATAGGAAATCTCAACGTAAACGTTTTTTTCGAAACTGATAGTTTTCCTTAAAAAATTTAAGGGAAGATTAACAAAATCGCAATCTAAGGTACGCACTTGTCGACTTAAGCCATCTATATTCATTCCACATCAGGCAAAACAGCAGTAAGCGCTATTTTCTGAATGCTTCGGTTGGGCCGTTTTGAAGGGATAAGGAACAAATTTCAAGGTTAGAAATTGGTAGAAAACTTCACAGTTATTTTAGTCACGACCACAGTAAATAGAACTTTTTGCGAATTTATGTGGACTGCTAACTGCGGTTATGTCTGAAATAACGTCAATTTTAAGCACTTACTGCTTACTCATAACTCTCGATTTTTACAAATAAAACGAATTTTGGTGTTTTAGCCGGATCAGTTTCATCAATTTCACTTTCATAGCTAATCTTTTAATTGATTTAAATTGAATGAGTCGAATTTCAAAGAAAACTAGATCTAAAAAATGTGGACGCCACTGCTCTCTCGGTGTCACGGCAGTATGCGTTCGATGCAGGAAAATACCGGCTTTTCATGTGGGAAGTTCGTGCCTTTGTATCTGCAGTTAGACCAAATGCAGCGAGAATGAACTAATTCAAGTTGAAAACCGAGGGGAGAGAATTTAATTTGTATTCCTCCGTCAGACTCCATTTAAAAAATTAATTTCTTTTTTATTTTCAGAGGTAAATATTTGTTTCCGACTGAGTGTTTTTCAAAGGAGCAAATTTGCGGCTAGCTCATGTCAAAGCTTTTTTAATTCATTTTGAACCGGAAGAGGCAGATGGAATCCTAAGCACATTTTGAAGAAAAGAGCAGGATGATTCTTTGCTCCTCTTTGATCAAATCGCATTCAAAGGAACGCCTCAAAAAAAAGAATTACTTAAGTAAAGGGGTGTTGTTTCGGATTTACTTTTTCAATTGCCAACAGGAGGATTAGACACTGCATTGCTATTAAGGGCAACGATTTTTGGCTCATTTCTGAAACAGCATGCGTGCCATGATACAGTCATTGATGTCCTTATGCTTAAAGCTGATTTTACGGATGAGTTGGCACCTTACTGCAAAACGAAATCCAAATCACTCTTTTGTCAGGCTACTCTCCTCAAGATGGAGATCAACAAAGCTCGACTCTAAAAGGCGCTCAGAAACTTAGACTTACAGTCCTTATGGCGTCAAGGAGTGAGGGATTCGATGAGATACAGCATTTTTGGAGGGGGTTGTCCTCCAAAAACGGACAAGTTTTGGGCGCAAAACTTGTCCATGGAAACAAACTATCAAGACGCAAAAACGAGCCGGTAACACTGATAGTCAGTCAGTTTGCCAGGGCGTTTTTTTCAGCCTTTCAAGCCCGTTTTCTTCAAGGGCTGTACATTTTAGATCCACTTTTATTCGTTCAAGGGTTACTATTCATATTTCTTTTTCCCTTTTTAACAAAAACACACAGATAGACTTGAATATGAAGCATCAAAATAATAATTTTTCTCATCTTACCTCGGAAAAATCCCGGTAAGTTATAATGTTTTTACATCGGTTTATCCTTATAAAATAGGCGGTGAAAAATTGCAACATGGCAAATTGAAATATGAATGTAATCTCACCGTCAGTGAAAAGAAAATGTGAAACTGCGTACGCGCTAAAGGGTGATTTCAGTAGTAATGGTTATCTCCTGCCATCAAATCAAAGCAACATTATTGAAGGCGCTCTAGGCAACTATTCCGCTCCAGAAGTATTGCTCAGCATCAGACAAAAATGAAGGCGCACTACGGTTAGTAGATACATTGACTCGTTGGTATCGTTTACCACGTG